ACACGCCCGTTGCAAAGCCAAAAGGCGTGCCAACGAAGGTCCAAGCCTCTCTCGACCGACACCGACACCTCCCGCCCCGAACCCCCCCACCCCCACCCCCTCCACCCCCGGCCCCCCGCCCGCGACGAGAACGCGAATGTGTGCACTTCTTAGTTGTCTTGGTTAAATTCTTCTTTTTGGAAGTATAATCTTCTTTCGCTCGCAAAAGAAACCAGGCCCCCTTTCTTTTAAACGAAATCCAAAAACCTGCCGTAATTCGTCAGGGCTCGCCAGGGCTCCCGCCCGAGATCGCATTCGAAACGATACCGGCGGCCCAGCGACGGCGCCTCAGCGTCCCCACAACCCAGGCTCTCGAAAGGTGATTATGGCGGAAAGCTGCTACCGAATGCGGATGGGCGAGCCGGTTCCGCCACGCTGGACGGGCCAGCGGCTGGCACGCGCCGGCCACACGAGCGCTCGTCGTCTGCGAGGCCACCGCTCGGCGTCGCTGCGTGCGTCGGCGATCGCGCTTGGCTGTGAGGTGGGACGGCGGCATGGTGCGCGCGGGCGCGGGGGTGGTGCGGGATGTGCGTGCCAGCAAGCCTAGTTTCACCTCTACCCACCCCGCAGGCGCGCCGACGTGCCGCCCGAGCGCGTTTGGGGGCAGTGCAGCAGCTCCTCGCCACACCTCTTTCCCGCCGCGCGCGAGTTGAGCTCCGATTTGCGCTCTTTTTCGCACACGCTCGACGCTATTAGGTGAGGATGGTCGATCCTCCGCTAGCAGGGCTTCGTCGGGCGCGTCTTCGTCGAGCGGTGGTGCATCTCCCATGGTTGCTCCCCCCCGCGCCTTCCTCGCAGCCCACCCGCGGCCAACACCGACGCCCCCCCTCACGTGCTCGATCACCGTCGGAGGTGCGGGTTTTTTGCAAGGCCCCCGTCGGTACGGGGCGCTGGGCGATGGCTGGGCTTGTCGCCGGGCGAGCTGGCCCGTCAGTCGCACGGCCGCGGAGCGGAGATGCAAAATCGAGGCGGCGCGGCCCCTCGCTGCGCGCAGCCTGTCTGGCCGGCGCGCGCATGGTTCCGTAGCCCGTCTAGTGCCTCACTGACCGACTCCAGCGCCACGGTGTACGTGGCCGGTGTGGTGCTGGGGCTGGGCAGCCTTGGGGCCGGCGGAGACCGCCGTCTAGCGGTCGCACTAGTCGGATGTCGTTGTTTGACCTGTTTTGTTCAACGGTTGTTTGACCATACTTTGAGCGCCTTAATTATTAATTCGGGTTTGGGTCTCTGAGGTCGATACTAGCGTCTGTAACCTGCCACAAGCACGCTTTACAAAAGTCCTGCTGAGCGGAACGCGCAGAGCCGCCGTCCGCGCGCGCTGTGAACAGCGCCATGGTAAGGCAGTCGATAAATGTTGATTCTCGCTCCTGTAACTATTGATATTGATTATTGACAGCATCCCCTCTAACTATTGACAATATATTGACATGTCGATCGCTGATTTTAACCTCCAAGAGCACCAAATGTCGACATTTGTCCCAAACATCGCCTAGATGTGGGCTGAAATCGAAAAAAATCGCAAGTTCACAGCGATTTTAATGCGATTTAAGCGATTTTGAAGCGAGTTGGGCCCGTTTACTTTTGAACGATTTAGAGCCATTTTCAAGCCCGGGATGGACCGCCACCGCTGGATATATTGATATGCTGAGTGCAGCCCGACGGTCCTGACCAGCCCAGGCCCAGCCTCTCCTCTAACTGTTGCAATATATATTTATCTTGATCGCCTCTGTAACTATTGCAGCAAAAAAAAGAGATATCCTCGGGCGACCGAGCGGCTGCGCTACTCAGGCAGCCTCCCTGCCTCAGCTGTTACAGGCACCACCCACCGACCAGTCTCGACGACGAGCCGCGGCAGGGCTCGCTGCGCCGCTGCACAGCTTTACGCCACAACACAACATATCATCCAACGTAACCTCTCCCTTAGTGACCCACCCTTGCGGGCTCAGTTGCCGCATTAGGAGCCTTCGCACCGCGAGTGCGCTCAGGTGGGATCCACAGAGAGAGAGGTTCCATACAAAGCCGCACTCTACACACCTTACCCCCTCTACTCGGGCGGCATCGTGGTGAGACCCTGGGCAGTCAGAGAGGCTGACAGTAAGTGGCGGGCTGAGAACTCGGGCCTCTCCCGACCCGCCATCGCTGCCTAAGGGAGGATCCTATCGGCCACTAGACCATGACAGATCAGAGGCGCACACGCCCTGTCCCAGCTCCCCCACTCCTCACACTGGGTTTGCAGTGCGCGGCCTCGCCACCTCCCTACCAGGGCAAACCCCCTCTCTCCCCCTAGGTGCGGCACTTGACGTCCATCGAAGGCGCGCGGCAGAGGCGGGAGGGAGGCGGGGAGAATCTAGCTCGCTCTGGCAGGGAGGCAAGGGTGTGATAGAGAGTGTTTGGGTGAGAACAGGCGGAGTGTGTGTGCCTGTACGCGATTGGGAGAGCACTTGTGACGAGGCATGGTTAGGCGAGTGGCAGTCGCTAGTGCGGACTTGCTAAGTCGTGTGTGCTCCCTTTTGCTTGCTAAGACTGGAACATTTTTTTTACAAAAAAACTCGCCTTGGGCGGGGGGCTAAAGTAAACTCTCTCCCTAGCTCTCTCCCGCGGATGGGAAACATTTCGGGCCACACGACACGAGGCCCCGTCTACAGTCAGTTCCACAGGGGCGCTATCCTACCTGCGTACTATCTTGTACTTGCGGCGGCGACATACACTACAGCGTGGTCCGGCGGCGACGACTACCCCTGGAGCAGCGCGAGGAGCTCGCGCTTCAGCAGCGGCACCAGCAGGCCCTCGCGCTCGAGGAACATGGGCACGTTGTGGTGGAAGGTGTCGTGCTCATGCAGGGCGAGCCCCGGCGCGTGCGCGACGAGCCGGGCCTGCATCATGTCGACGGCGTTGCCCGCGCCGACGTGCACGGCCGCACGGCCGCCTCGCGCGTGCATCACCGCGAGGGCGTGTCGCACGCGCGCGGTGCACGCGCGCCTGGGCTCGGCCGGCACGTGCGCGCCGTGCGTCAGGTCCAGGTCCACCCGCGGGCCTATGAGACACTTCCTAGACACTTCCTGGACACTTCCTGGACACGTCAGGCGCAGGTCCACCCGCGCGCCAAACGAGACGGCGCGGTGGCCGAGGTGCGCGTGCAGCAGCGCGGCGGTGCCGCCCATCGAGGAGCCGACGAGGAGGACGCGCGCGTAGCCGGCCGTGTGGGCTCGGATGAGCCGCTCAAAGTAGCGTACGCCGCCCCACCCGCCGGCTGGGTCCTGCAGGTAGTACGAGTTTGACGGGTCGGCGAGGTAGAGGGCCTAGAAGGTTGCTAGAAGGTTCCTAGAAGGTTCCTAGAAGGTTGACGGGTCGGCGAGGTAGAGGGCCTAGAAGGTTGCTAGAAGGTTCCTAGAAGGTTCCTAGAAGGTTGACGGGTCGGGCGAGGAAGAGCGCGTCGACGGCCACGCCGGCTGCGCGCGCGGCGGCGCACGGCGCGGCCCACTGTTGCATGCCGGGGCCCTGGGCGGCGAAGGCGACGAGGAGGACGTCACCTAGAAGGTTCCTAGAAGGCTCCTCGAAGGCTCCTACGAGGTTCCTCGAAGGCTCCTAGAAGGCGACGAGGAGGACGTCACCTCGCACGCCCGCCGCCATCGGCTCGAAGAAGTGGTCGGTTGTCGCGAGACGGTCGGTGAGGACGTCGCGCAGCGCCGCAGGCGGCGTCCCGCGGTTCCAGCCGAGGCCGATCCGCGCCGCGCCTATGAGACACTTCCTAGACACTTCCTCGACACTTCCTGGACACGTCCCAGCCGAACCCGATCCGCGCCGCGCCGGAGTGGCCGGAGGAGGTGACTGCGCGGGCTGCGCTGCCGCTCATCTCAGAGGCCAGCTCTGACGCCTCGGCGAGGTCGAAGGCGTTGGCGCCGAGGGCGAGGTTCTGCAGCGGCAAGTGACGCAGCACCCTCTGGCGCAGCGCGGCCAGCGACCCTCCGAGCCTGTTGGACTGGAGGTAGAGCCCCTGCAGCCGGGGGAGCGCGCCTATCAGACACTTCCCAGAGACCTCCTCGACACCTCCTAGACACCTCCTAGACACTCGCAGCCGGCGGAGCGCGCCGAGGGCGGCGGGCAGCTCCGCGAGGCGGTTGTGGTGCGCCTGGAGGACGGAGGACCCGAGATCACCCGAGATTGCCCGAGATTGCCCGAGATTACCCGAGATTGGCCGATGCGGTTGTGGTGCGCCTGGAGGACGGTGAGCGATGCGCACTGACCCAGCTCCGCGGGGAGGCAAGTCAGCAAGTTGCCTGAGTCGGCACACGGTGTGAGCCGGGCGTGCGAGATTACCCGAGATCACCCGAGATTACCCGAGATTGCCCGAGATTGGCCGAGATTGGCCGAGGCACACGGTGCGAGCCGGGCGTGCGAGCGGGAGGGAGGAGCGGGAGGAGTGGGGGAAGGGCGCGCAGTGGGTGGGCGTGGGGCAGGGATGGGGGCGGCTGTCGGCATGGCGGGCGGCGGCATGCAAGGCGGCGGCATGCAAGGCGGCGGTCTGGGCGGCGAGTGGCGGACGGCCGACGGCCGGAGGGGCGGGAGGGGCGTTGGGGGGAGGGGCGGGGCAAGTTGGCACGCGCACGGCGCGGCGGGGCGTCGTGGGACGGCGTCAGAGGGGCGGCCAGAGGCGACGCGCGCCGTGCAGCCACAGCTCGCGAAGCTTGTCTAGCCGAGATTACCGAGATTACCCGAGATTACCCGAGACTACCGTGCAGCCACAGCTCGCGAAGCTTGTCTAGCCGAGATTACCGAGATTACCCGAGATCACCCGAGGTTACCGTGCAGCCACAGCTCGCGAAGCTTGTCTAGCCGAGATTACCGAGATTACCCGAGATCACCCGAGATTACCGTGCAGCCACAGCTCGCGAAGCTTGTCTACCCGAGATTACCGAGATTACCCGAGATCACCCGAGACTACCGTGCAGCCACAGCTCGCGAAGCTTGTCTAGCCGAGATTACCGAGATTACCCGAGATCACCCGAGATTACCGTGCAGCCACAGCTCGCGAAGCTTGTCTACCCGAGATTACCGAGATTACCCGAGATCACCCGAGACTACCGTGCAGCCACAGCTCGCGAAGCTTGTCCAGCCGAGATTACCGAGATTACCCGAGATCACCCGAGACTACCGTGCAGCCACAGCTCGCGAAGCTTGTCCAGCCGGCCAATCGCCGCGGGCAGCTCCGAGAGCCGGTTGCCCTCGAGGCAGAGCTCGGTGAGCCGCGTGAGGTGGGGGAGCACCTGTTCACGGCTCGAGGTGTGAAGAGGCGCTGTTCACACCGCAGCGGCGGTGAGGTGGGGGCAGCGCCTCCGCCACGCAAGTCACGCCGTTGCAGCCCAGGTGGAGCTTCTTGAGCGAATGGCCATGCTGCGCTAGCCTAACGTGCCTTTACGCCAGCCTCGGGGCGGGAAGACGGTATTGTGCGGCGTCTTCAGAGCACCGCGTGAAGACAAGGGAGAGGAGGACAGAGGAGTACAGCGGAATATGTGGCCCTCTCGGGCGCTGGTTGGGAGGCAAGAATCCGTATTCCGCTTCTAGGTGGTCGAGCATCCGCGGGGCGGCACCAAGCCGGTTGTACGAGGCCAGGAGCGCCGTGAGCACCGTCGCGCGCGGGTGCAGCGGTGGCAGCGCGGTCTGGCCGTTTGCCTCGAGCTCAAGCACAGTCAGGCTGGGCGATGCGAAGCCCCCGCCGGCTGCCTCCTCCGCTGCTGCGTCCGCTGCAGCATCGTCCTGATCACCGACTGCCACCGCCGCTTCCGCCGCCGCCGCCGCCGCCTCCGCTGCGCCGGCCTCCACCGCCGCTGCTACGCCTGCCGCCTCCTCCGCCTCCTCCGCCTCCACCGCCGCTGCTACGCCTGCCGCCTCCTCCGCCTCCTCCGCCTCCACCGCCGCCGCTGCTAAGCCTGCCGCCTCCTCCGCCTCCTCCGCCTCCTCCGCCGCCGCTGCTACGCCTGCCGCCTCCTCCGCCTCCTCCGCCTCCACCGCCGCTGCTACGCCTGCCGCCTCCTCCGCCTCCTCCGCCTCCACCGCCGCTGCTACGCCTGCCGCCTCCTCCGCCTCCTCCGCCTCCTCCGCCGCCGCTGCTACGCCTGCCGCCTCCTCCGCCTCCTCCGCCTCCTCCGCCTCCTCCGCCTCCTCCTCCTCCTCCGGGGCGTCGCCCGACGGCTTCTGCGCGCCCCAGCGCAGGTAGTGGAGCCCCTTGATGCGGAGCACCGCCGCCGGGAGCCGCCGCAGCCGGTTGTGCTGCAGGTTGAGCACCTGTTCACGGCTCGAGGTGTGAAGAGACGCTGTTCACAGCAGCCGGTTGTGCTGCAGGTTGAGCACCTGTTCACGGCTCGAGGTGTGAAGAGACGCTGTTCACAGCAGCCGGTTGTGCTGCAGGTTGAGCACCTGTTCACGGCTCGAGGTGTGAAGAGACGCTGTTCACAGCAGCCGGTTGTGCTGCAGGTTGAGCACCTGTTCACGGCTCGAGGTGTGAAGAGACGCTGTTCACAGCAGCCGGTTGTGCTGCAGGTTGAGCACGTGTAGCTGCGGCAACGCACCGACCCACGCCGGCAGCGAGCGAAGCTCGTTGCACGCGAGCAACAGCTCCTGCAGCCGACCAATTAACTAATTAATTAATTAATTAGCTAATTAATTAATCGCGAGCAACAGCTCCTGCAGCCGACGTAGGCGGCAGAGGGCCTCCGGCAAGTCAGAGAGCCTACGCGTAAATATACAGCAGCATGAGAGCGGGAATACGGTCTTGTGCAGTGTGTTCAGAGCACCGCGTGAGTACGACGGAGAGGAGTACGGTGCGCACAACGGAACACGCCCGAATACGGCTGAATACGTGTCCGCTCGGGCGCGAGTTGGGAGACACGAGTCCGTCTTCCGCTTCTAGGTCGGAGAGCAGATCTCGCTCGCGTCGAGATATGGGGAGAGACGGGGAGATATGGGGAGATACTCCGCATCTAGGCCTCGAGATATGGGGGAGAGACGGGGAGATATGGGGAGATACTCCGCATCTAGGGGCGAGGGCCTCAGCCTTGAGGAGAAGCTGCGAACGGTCGGCCGCTGCGGCGACGAGAACCTGCACGCAACGCCGCCGCACGGCGGGGTGGACAAGACCGTCGGGCGGGGATGCAGCGGCGAGGAGACGTCGAGCGCGTCGTCGAGCGCATCGAGCATCTCCGCGTAGTCGGCAACGGTGCCGCCGAGCGTCGCGCCGTCGGACGGCCATCCGCGCGCGAGCAGCGGCGCCGCCGCCCGCTTGCCAGGCTCGCCGCCGCCTCCGCCTCCGCCTCCGCCTCCGCCTCCGCCTCCGCCTCCGCCTCCGCCTCCGCCGCCGCCTCCGCCGCCGCCGCCGCCGCCGCCGCCGCCGCCTTCGGACTGCAGCCGCACCGCACGTAGATCGACGGGCTTGAGCCGGCGGCATGCGGCGTCGCAAGACGCGGTCCAGCCGCGCAGCGGCGATCCGTTGTCCTCGCCGGGATCGAGGAGCAGCCACGCGCTCTCCGCAGCCGCCGGCGAAACGACCGCCGGCCGCTCACCCCGCCTATGGGAAGAGGCGCGGGCGGCGTCGGACGCGATCCGAGTGGGCGGTGGCACGGTGAGGGCCGGGCGATGGGCGGCAGTGCCGCAGGGCAGCGGCGGCGCTTGCGCAGGCGAGCGGCAGCGGCGGGCGTCGGCGCTGTCCTCGGCGCGGCCCGAGCGGCCCGCGGCGCTGTGCGCCGAGGCACCGGCCGCGGCCGGGGCACGTGGGTCGGGGAAACGACGCACCCGCTTCAGCGGCGGCCGACCAGGCAGCATTTTGGCAGCCGGCCAGAGAGTCGGCTCCGACCGGTAAGAAGAATTCGTGCGCTCAGAATTCGGGAGCGGCGGCCTCTTTGATGTATGTTTTTCCCTTTTGGGGCATCGAAGAGGTGCGACGAGGTGCCCTTCCCCTTTCTTCTTGGTTTCCCACACAGCTGGGCTTCGCCGGGCTTCCAGCCAGGGTACGGCGGCTCTGAGACTGAAAGGCGGCGCCGGCGGGCGTTCGCGCCAAAATAGATGCAAACCTACCGCGGTTGGTTTGCATCTTGTGAGAAACAAGCCCATAATCATGATGAGCCCCATACCGGGCGGATGAAGCGGGAATGAAACTACTGAGAAAGAGGCCAGTAGTCATGATGAGCCCCAAA